CCTTTGTGTTCGCCTAGTCCTTGCGTTCTTCCTGTTCATTGAATCCAAAATTGAAACTATTGTTGCTATGGATTTTCTTTTTCTGCTCCCCTGTTCCTTTCCAGTCTTGTTTCCCTTTACGTGTCTCCAGCACCAGCGCTGACATTCTGCAGGCATCTGCTCTCCAAATACCCAGGCCACTCAGTGTTTCCCCAGCCATCCTTGCTTCTGCATTTTTACTTACAATGCTCACTTGCTCCAGAGTGAGATGTTGAAGTCCTATGTATTCTCTAAGACCCAGCAGTTCATATGCCATTTTTCTCCCAAAATTTTACCTCTCTAGAGGGAATTAATCTCTGACTTCTCTGGGGTTCTTGCTTTCTCTGTAGGACCCACATGTCACTGCATTGTTGGGTAGTGGGTATTTGTGGGCATGACTAGACCCAAAGACCAAGGGCAGGGGCAATGTATTGGTAAGCTCAGCAGTCCTTAGAGTACTCAGCAGCCCTGTGAACATATTGAACTTCATATATTTTTAAACTGAATGTCTTTTAATTGAGAGCTTAAAAATATTAAAAGATTTGTCTAATTTTCTGTTTCCCCCTTTAGAGGCTCTCTGTAAAACATAGACTTTCTTATTACTTCTCCAGCTCTCCTCAGTTTAGCACCACACTGATGACTTTTCCTTGCAGTTTATTTTCTTTCGGATAGTGATAAAGATGTGTAGTCAAATCACAGTGAATAGCAGCTCTTTTTGAAAGGCTATGGATGGAAAGTGGGTAAACAGAAGATGAATGTCAATGGAAATTAATCCCTTGTCTGGAGGCTGAGAGGGTAGACAGCACACAATGTAGAAATGAAAAGTTTGAAAGCAAAGAGGTTATAAATGTGAACCAAAGAGAACAGAATGTTGTTAACTAGGAGGAAAAGACTGCAAAGCCAAGTAAAGAGAAATAATCTTAAATACAAATATTTAAGTAGTCAATGAAATGAGGACTTTTTACTGTTGGACAATACTTGGTTGTGGATGTTTGTATGAAGAGGATGCTAATGGATAACAAAGTACTCTGATATTTGAGCAATATGACAATCCAAAAGGTCAGTGCTATTATGGGCTATACAGGAAAAGAAAGTACTCAAAATTTGACAGATGGAGGGAGAAAAGGGTCCTGGAATTTAGGGAAAACATCATTTGGGCACCTGATTCCCAGTGTCTTCTCATTATTTCATATCTTGAAGCCAAGATATGAAATAGAGTTATCACTTAGTAATATTAAAAAGTCTCTACAGGCTAGTATTGACCAGTCTCTATATTGTTAAGACCAAAACCAGAGTAGATTCTACTCTCTTGCCAATTTACAAATTAACATATGGTTTATTTTTATAGTGAAGGGTTTAGAACTCTAAAAGATGGATGTTAGTAGAAGAGATATTCCTGGGCCTCCCCTGGTGGCGCAGCGGTTGAGCGCTGTGCTGCAAAGCTGCCCACAGCCTCAGCAGAGCCGGTTCGATCCCCGGCCGCCAGCGAGGGTCCCACATGGCATGCAGACCTCTCCTGCCGCCCGCTGCTCCCCTCAGCGGTGTATTTCATCAGTCTGTCTGTTCTGTTCCCCGCTCTGGCTCTGGTGAATTCTCTCACCCTCCTGCGCTTCTGACTATACCCAGTGCTTGTATAATAAATAAATAAATCTTTAAAAAAAAAAAAGAAGAGCTATTCCCACTCTTCAAATTTTTCTTCTCAGATATCATTATGTTACAGGTAGATATTAAGGACCCTAGTTTCTCAGTTCTCTGCTGGTGAGATCTCTATCCTTAAGTTATGTTAAACAGCAGAATCAGATGCCTTCTTTGTCTAAGGAAGAATGGTTAGGAGTCTAAAGTAGGGGCCTCCCTGGTGGCCCAAGGGGTTAGATACAGCACTATGAGGCTCTCTGCAGCCATTGCAGCATGAGTTTGATCCCTGACCAGAGAGGTGACCCACATGGCACCGTAGACCTCTCCTGTCTTGCCCGATGCTCCCCTCAGCAGTGTATTTCAGTCCATCTGCCTGTTCTGCTCCCCACTCTGTCTCTGGTGAATCTGCTCACCCCCCCCACCACCTCTGGCCTGTACCCCAGTTTTGTATGCATAAGTAAATAAATAAATAAATCTTTAAAAAAAAAAAAAAAAAGAGCCCACAGCAAATCTCCACAGGCACATTGTGGCACTGCTTCTCTCTTTTGAGATCACTTGCTGCTCTTTTCTATACCTGAGGTGAGAAGTAATGATTAATGACAGGTACGACTTGTCTTTACTTGCTGGAGGGCCTCAAAGGTGGACTTTTCTTTCTAATGGGATCATTACAAAGAGGCAAGAATATATAAATTCTTCTGACAGGGTATGATGTAAAGACTAGAACATCTGGTTGTTTTTTTTTAACATCTCATGTTTTTATGCTTTCCCTTATCACCATTTGCCTAAGTTGTATTTGGGAAGAAAATGGCCTGTGCTTTACACATGCTTCCTAAAGATAGTTTATCAAATCACTTTGTGCAAACCTGAAAAAATAAAGCATCTCAACATGTAAATGATCAAGATACTCAGGCTTGCCTCACAAGATTGTCCAGTAGTCCTTTCCTAACCCCTCAACTTAAGGTCCCATCTTCCTTTCATGAAGATGATAGCACCAATCCCAAATCAAAAGGATTTGAAGTTTTTTTTTCTTCAAAGATTTATACAAGAACCGGGGTATAGGCCAGATGCGCGGGAGGGTGGGAGGATTCACCAGAGACAGAGAGGGAAACAGAACAGGCAGATTGACTCAAATACGCTGCTGAGGGGAGCAGCGGGAGAGACAGGAGAGGTCTGCTCACCATGTGGGACACTCGCCGCCTGGCCAGGATCGAACTGGAGCTGAAGAGGCTGTGGACAGCTTCACAACGCGGTGCTTAACCGCCTGCGCCACCAGGAGAGGCCCAGATTTGAAGTTTTGAGGTACTTTTTCAATAGAAGGGGCACAAAGGGAAAGCTTTCATTTGTGTTGGGATGGAATATATAACATGAGAGAAAGCATTGCGTTGGTAATTAACCCCATCTTTGCAGGAGTTCCTAGAAACTTATTCAGTGTGTAACAGGATGCTATTTTTCTTTCAAAGCTTAGTGTGCTTTTTTGTCACTGGAAATGATTTTTACAGTGAGTGCCAATATGTTTCTAAAACTTAAAGAGCAAAATGTGTTGCCACTGATGTTTTGTTGTGTAGAACTGAAAGGTATGTGTGAAAGGCAGAGCTGGGGGAGGTGTTAGATACATTTCAGATTAGATTTACCCCAAAAGAAAATATTTTGATGCTCTTAATATGTGTGCTATTCATCAGAGATATTACCTCTGAATTGCTTCCCAGTGCACATTTGAGCAGCAATTAAAAACTTGATAAATGAAATAACAGGCATAGATTATGTATTAACTATCTCAATGGCCCACATCATCAACTAAGCAATAAATCTTTGGGAGAAAAAAATTGGTGACTGCTTTTATTTTATTTTTTTTAAAGATTTATTTATGCATACAAGAGCTGGGGTACAGGTCAGAGATGAAAGTGTGCGAGGACCCACGGGAGACAGAATAGGGAACAGAACAGGCAGACTGACTGAAATACACTGCTGAGAGGAGCAGTGGGTGAGACAGGAGAGGTCTGTGCGTCATGTGGGTTGCTCCCTAGCTGGCAAGGGATCAAGCTGGAGCTTGTGCTGCAGAGGCTGTGGATTGCTTCATAGTGCAGTGCAGTGCTTTTTTTTTTTTTTTTAGATTTATTTATTTTTATACAAGAACTGGGGTACAGGCCAGAGATGTGTGTGTGTGAGACAGAGAGGATTCACCAGAGACAGAGTGGGGAACAGAACAGGTGGATTGACTGAAATACACTGCTGACTGAGGGGAGCAGCGGGGGGAGACAGGAGAGCTCTGCTGTGCTGTGGGGTGTTGAACCGCAATGGCTGCTGATAGCTTCATAGTGCTGAGACTTACCTCCTTGCGCCACCAGGAAGGCCCAGACCTCAGCGTTTTAAAAGACACAGTGTCTTCACAAGTCATGGAGGACCTAGCTCAACACTGACTTCTCTGGAATATTTCTATAATCACATTTTTTTGGTCTCCTTTATTTTCTTTCTATACAGGTCTCTTGGATATCAAGGAGGATGGTAGGTAGGAGGGATTCTGAGGATAGCTGAATTGCTTAAGAAAAAAGTGAGATAATGCCCTTAGTCACTTACTTGGCAGAGGCTCAAATTTCAAAGGGAAGGAGCAGGCTGGCTCAATTTACCCTGTTAAAGTTCAGGGGGTTTGCATACTTATCTCTCATTCCATCCTCCTGATAACTTTGTGAAGTACATTTTAAAATTCCCATTTTATAAAGAAAAAGGTGAGGTTCAGAGAGATTCTTCTTTTACCTAGTCACATAGTAAGTGGCTGGCCAGAGTCTTGTACTTTACACGCCTCTCCTTAATTGGAGTTTGTAAAGTTTATTTCCCTCTTTTCTCAGTATCAACACATAGATTCTAGCAAAGAACCCATTGGGGGAAAGCCTAGGATTTCTCTTTCTTTTATGTACTGCCTTTACCTCCTCTACACCAGAGCGTGCCTAGTAAGGTGCTCAGCAAACATGTGGGGCCAGAGGCAATACCCCTTCATGCTGCCACTGTGGGGCTGGGTGAGAGGCAACGCAGGCTTGGGTGAGGTGGATTGTGTTCCTGCTGCTGCTGCTGCTGCTGCTGCTAGGTGATGGGAGTAACTCCTTTGCTAGTGTTTTGCCTCGAAGGCATTTTCCATTTTCTAGCTCCCTTCCAATCTTTATCCCTCACCTCTCGCCCCTCAACTTCAGCTCAGTCTCCCAGGGGAGCTCCCTTGCCGAGGGGCTGACAGCGCTTGGGGGCGCGGGGTCCCGGTTCTCGGTGCTCTGGACCATCTGTGCTCAGAGCCTCGTTCCCGGGCGCCTGGAGCCCGGCGAGCATTGACGTCAAGCGGCGGCGGAGCGCTGCCTACAGCCGGTTGACCCGTACCCTCCTCTACTCCCCCTTGCTTCTTCGCCCCCTCCCTCTTCCCTGCGACCGGGCTCTGTCTTGCTATAAAAGGCGGGAGCGCGGGGTGCTCCGGTAGTGCCGAATTTCAGCACCATGGAGAGTCCCCGCCTGCGGCTGCTGCCCCTCCTGGGTGCCGCCCTGCTGTTGCTGCCACCTCTGCTGGGCACCCGTGCCCAGGAGGACGCTGAGCTGCAGCCCCGAGCCCTGGACATGTACTCCGCCGCGGAGGACGCCTCTCACGAGAAGGAACTGGTCGGTATCCCCCTGGTCCCCGACTCCCTGCGCTGCCACGCGGTCCCTTCCTTTGTGCGCTTTCCTCTTCTCCGCGCCTCCCCATCCCCATTTCTAGAATCCAGGAGCCGGGAGCTGGTAAAGCCCGGACTTCCGCAGCCATCGGTAGATCGCAAGGAGCTCGCGGTCTCCAGGCAGCTAACCCCTGTCCCAGGCACTTGGAGCAACAAGAGCCTCAGCGGCTCAGGGACCTGCCGTCAGTGCCTAGGACTAAGTTTCTACCACTCCAGCATCCCTTTCGGTCCGCGTTGTCCGAGGGCATCGCGGGGTCTGGGGCTCTTTATACCTAGTGCTGGAAGTGAGCACCTGGGCTGGGCTCGCAGCCAAGGCGGCAACTTGGGGCTCCGGGGGTGTGTGTTACAGATCGAAGCGCTGCAGGAAGTCCTGAAGAAGCTCAAGAGTAAACGCATTCCCATCTATGAGAAGAAGTACGGCCAAGTCCCCATGGTAAGGTTTGGGGGTACCCTCCCTGTTTTCCCAGGAGGAAAGGTACCACCTGGAGTTTTATATGCGACCTTCTCCTCAGATAATTCACGCTCTGGGTCGGCAGAACGCTGTGGGCTTCCCTTTGTTTCCACCTGAAGCCTTTCCTCCTTGGTTTCTAAGGCAAAGGGTAGGTTGGCCATTTGGGAGGATTGAGCAGCTGGTGCCAAGAGCCCGCCAGCTCTTGGGTTTGTGTGCAGGAAATATTTTCTGAAGATGAGCTGCCCCCCGCCCCGCCATCTCACAGTCTCTGGACTGGAAGAGCCCTTGATGCCACTCAGTTCTCTTTCCTTCAGTTTTCTTCCTGCCTAACGGAGCACCGTCAGTTTTTAAAATTTAAGTTCGAGAGTCAGAATTCTTGAATTGGTTCTGGTCAGATTCTTCGGCGGAAGCACATTTAAATCTTTCTTCTCGGGACGAGGGCATGGGAAACAGGGAATTGGAACTGAGAGGAGATATAGGATTCTTGTTTACTTCTTCGGGAAATGGGTGATTGACTTCTTTTGGAAAAGGAACTAAAGGAGCCAAGAAATGTGACCTCTCCCCCACCAAAAAAAAAAAAAAAGTTGAAAGTAAGAAATAAGATTAATAATTAAATTTCTTTGTTATGCTCTTTCGCTGAAATTGTAAGAACAAGGCTCCCTGCATTTCAGTCTGACTACACGTACCCCTCTGGTGATGAGGATGGGGTGCACATGGCTCTCCCACCAGGTAGAAATTGTGTTGACAGGGAGTTAGGGTTGGCTTTCCCCTGACCACACTTTGTGCTGTTTGCAGTGCGACGCTGGTGAGCAGTGCGCAGTGCGAAAAGGAGCGAGGATCGGGAAGCTGTGTGACTGCCCCCGAGGAACCTCCTGCAATTCCTTCCTCCTGAAGTGCTTGTGAGGTGTCCAGCCTCATTCAGAATCCCCACTCCCCCCACCTTCCCCGAGAGGGCCACGCCTTGTCCCTGGAGTTTGGCTTTTAACTACAAAGTTTGCATTTCCCTTTGAGGCAAAGAGGCTCTTTCCCTGCTGTTTCCAAATAAAAGAACACATTTGCTGTTACTGTGTGAAGGATAATGACTTGGATGTTGTAAAGTATTCTTTTCTTTTATTTGTCTGACAAACTCCTGTGTATCTTTGTGCAAAGATGGGAAACTTCACTTTGCAAACTGTTATTTTTGTATGTGGCATGACAGGATGAAAATTAGATCTAGTTAATCTTGGTAGATGACATCACAACCTGAAAAATAAATCACCCCCAGCAACACAAATTGAAGCATGTACAAATTATACATAATAAAGTGTTTTTAATAATCGCTCATGCATCATTGTTTCTACATAAGTAATTGAAGTAGAAATGGTAGGATTAATCATGCTGTTGTTTTCAAAGAGAAATATTTTAAAAATAGCAGTCCATTGGGAGAGCAGCACCTTGGCTCCAAGGAGTTTTGATCATTAATTAGGAGTTTGCCACACAAGCTTTGGTACACAATTTTTCTTTGATTGCAGTGGTGCAGGGTGTATGTGTGTGTATGATGTGTGTGTGTTTGTGATGAGATGGAGGTGGTTGGAGTTGAGCTGGTATTATTTTGTTTATTAAAACCTTTAGCTAGACCCAATACCTTTAACAGAGAACTCTAAAAGATCAATTGTCTTAGCCACACTAAAAGCAATTAAAAAATTAAGACTTCTGTTGTGACAACTCCTTTAATAGACAATAGACATTGATTAAAAAAAAATGAACTCATGGGGAGGGTGTTGTTTGTCCAAAGGAAGGAAAAGAGCTGTATCAGGTGCTCCAAGATGTTAGACTCAACCATTCCCACGAGTAAGAACACCATTCTGGAAAGCTCTGTTCAAAGGAAAAATAGTCATTTTCTAACAGGTTGGTCCCTGGGAAAAGGGTAGGTTCCAGGTTCCCTGCTCCATCCAAGGGAGGGTGGAGCTGATCAGGGGATCTGGATCTAGAGGAGTAGCTACAAAGGAGACTGGAAGTGGGAAGGTAGAGGGATGGGGAGCCGGAAGGAGACCTGGAGGAGGCACATGGAGCAAAGAGACACGTGAAGAAACTGCACTTGCTTTTCAAGCCTTTAGATTGGTTCAAACAGCTGTGGGTGAGAGGCCTGTGGGGAGATTAATAATGGCAACTTTTGTCTTGATTTTGCTTCTTCTATCCCAGAAGTGCTAGGCCCCTTCTGCCCCTTTCCTATGGGCCTCCACCAACAGGTGCTTTAGACCTGTGGCAGGCTTTCGGGTCTCGGCAGCGCTGCTTTGGGCCAGCCCTATTTGGATTGACATTTACCCACGAGGGGATGGGTAACTTTGGGTGCTTGATTTGAAAACTATATTCTTTGTCTTTTCTTTGTTGCCCACTAATTGCAATAAGGTTCCTTTTCATTATAGGTCTTTTGCACTAGGGTATGTTTTGTCTTGATGCAACAGGTGGCAGAAACTTTTTAGAGTGGGCAGGTTTGGGGGTTCTGGGGTGCCCCTCACCATGCCCTATAACAATTTTAGTAAATAGTTTTGAAGGAAACCAACAGAAAATTGGTCAAGAAATACAAAAATCTTAAGTGTAAAATTCAGTAGCCATTGAATGTTTCTGGCTGATTACCCAGTATCACATTTCTGAGGATTTAAGCTTGGCCATGTAACATTTAAGAAGCAGCACAATGTTTGTAACTTCTTAATGTAAACCAAAGAGTCACCTGTGTAGTAGTAGAATTAAAAAAAAAATGTTCCTTTGTGGATTCATAGAGTGATATAGTATGTTGATAGAAAATTATCTCTCACACACAATTGCCATTTGCAGTTTTTTTTAAAGATTTATTTTTATTTATTTATGCATACAAGAACTGGGGTGTAGGCCAGAGGCGTGGGTGTGTGTGGAAGGATTCACCAGAGTCAGAGTGGGGAGCAAAACAGTTGGATCTACTGAAATACACTGCTGAGGGGAGCAGAGGGTGAGATAGGAGAGGTCTGCTGGGACATGTGGGTAGCTCCCTGGCCCAGGATTGAATTCGTGCTCCAGTGGCTGACAATAGCTTCATGGTGCTGAAACTTTAACCCCTTGAACCACCAGGGAGGTTCCAAGATTGGGACAATTTTAATGAGAAAAATAGTCACCCATGTTCACTTGTCCATTGAGACCTTCTGACTATTCTTTTAAGAACATGTAACATTTCAAAAGATAAAGATTAGAGAAAATTTAAGATGTGGGAAATAGTGTGAATCAAAGCACACAGAACAGTGAGGCCCCCAGAGACAGCAGATAGAAGTAACTAGAGTGTTGCATCCATGGCATGTAAAATGGTGAAAGAGGAGAAAAGGCCAATCAGACTATGGGGAAAGTGGTCCGGTAGCGGGATGGCTATGAAAAGTGTGTGTTGAGAATCTCATGTTTATAGCACCCTGAAGGAGGACCTGGGGGGTTGGGGGAGGATGTGGGCACAGGAAGGCAGGCAGGAGGATACTGCAAGAGTTTAGGAAAGAAGTGGCTAGGGCCTGGATGGATAAGGGCAGTGAGGATGGACAGGAGCAACACGGAATATTGACTAGGAAGAGTCCAAAAGCAGTTTCCCGAAGCTCTTCTGATCTGCGATGGTGTGTTTCCTCATCTATGGTAAAATGGCTCAAGGTGAGGACATGGAGTTTGTTATATCCAATTTCTTAATATTTTAACTAGAAATTTAGTATATCTCTTTTAAAAGTCAGGTTTATTCAGGTACAATTTTATATAGTAAAATCCATCCTTTTGAAGTGTGCACTCCACTCTCTACATTTCCTGTGTTAAAGGTTGTTTCTTTTATGAAATGACAGTGGAAATAGATGGTACTTGTTTTCCTATTGTTATCATTTACCAAAAAAATTTCTGTCATTTCAACTTGGGATGCCAGAATTTGGGGTGAAATTTGGCTGCTATAAAAAATCAAAAAGTCTGGAGGGCCTCCCTAGTGGTGCAGGGGGTTGAGAGCCACACTGTAAGGCTGTCTGCAGCCTCTGCAGTGTGGGTTTGATCCCGGTTGGCCAGTGGACAGTCCCATATGGCGAGGCAGACCTCTCCTGTCTCGTCCGCTGCTCCCCTCAGCAGTGTATTTCCTCAGTCTGCCTGTTCTGTTCCCTGCTCTGTCTCTGGTGAATCCTCTCATCCTCCCGCGTATCTGGCCTGTACCCTGGTTTTTGTATAAATAAATAAATCTTAAAAAAAAAATTCAAAAAGTCTGGAAACTATTGAAGCCATGGAGACTTATAATACCAGGAGTCTGAAGGCTAGGAGGATGGTCCACACCAGAGAAAGGAAAGGCAGTGGGAGAGGCTTGCAGCGGGCAGAGGACTAAAGTGTGAATGTCAAAGGAGCCTGGAGAGTCTTTAGGTCTCCTCTAGAGTCTAATCCAGACATGGCTTCACCAGAGAGGAGGCCAGGAGCACCTCGATGGAATGTTTGAGTAATCAGGAAATGAAGCAAATCTTCTCCAACCCAAATTGGTTTTGACTTTACTTGAATTGAAGGCTTTAACAAGAAAGAATAAAACAATAATCACCTCAATTTCATAGTTTGGATTTTTAAAATGCTAAGCAATCCTGTGAATAACCCTAAGCTTCTGGAATTTGAAGAGAATTGCTTTTAAAATATATGCTTTTGGGACCTCCCTGGTTGCACAGGGGGTTAAGTTTCAGCACCATGAAGCTATTGGCAGCCACTGCAGCACAAGTTCAATCCCGGGCCAGGGAGCTAACCCACATGGCTCAGCAGACCTCTCCTGTCTCCTCCACTGCTCCCCTCAGCAGTGTATTTCAGTCGTTCTGCCTGTTCTGTTCCCCATTCTATCTCTGGTGAATCCTCTCAACCTCCCAGCCCCCGCACCTCTGGCCTACACCCCAGTTGTTGTATGCATAAATAAAACAAATCTTAAAAAAATATGTATGTTTTATATATTTTTAAGCTTTATTTATTTATGCATACAAGAGTGGGGTACAGGCCATAGGTATGGGGGGTGAGAGGATTCACCAGAGACAGAGTGGGGTACAGAACAGGTAGACTGACCAAAGTACACTGCTGAGGGGAGCAGTGGGCGAGTCAGGAGAGGTCTGCTGCGCCTTGCGGGTTGCTCCCTGGCTGGCCGTGGAGCGAACTCGTGCCGTGGTGGCTGTGGACTGCCCCATAGGCTGCGTCTTAACCCCTTGCACCACCAGGGAGGCCCTATGCTTTTATGTTTTATATATTTTATACATTAATATAATACTGTAGCTGTATAGTTAAATTATAAAGTATATAAGTATTACAGATACTTATATTTAATTTAATTGTTTATATGTACATAGTTTCTATAATATATCATGCATAATTTAACATAACAATATATAATTCATATATAAATAATTTACACATAACTTAATAAATATGTATAACACAGTTCATATTCTGACTCTTTGCTTTTATGAAAGACCCACATAAACAACTGTTTAAACTAACTGAAAGAAATCTGAAGAGGATGTTGGCTTTTATGACAAAAGCATAAAACAAAATTATATTCAGCACATACATTTTTACCTTAGTGTATTTTGCTTTATAATTATAAATTTTAATGTAGTCAAATGTATTAATCTTTTCCTTTCATGTTTTGTGCCTACTTTAAAACATAATACCATCTCAAACCATAAAGACATTCCCTTATATTTTTCTACAAGATTTGGGTTTTTGTAACTTCCCTTAAGATTTTTAATCCAGGGCCTCCCTGGTGGTGCAAGGGGTTAAGATCCAACCTATGAAGCTGTCCTCAGCCTCTGCAGCATGAGTTTGATTCCAGTCTGGCCAGGGAGCCACCCACATGGTGCAGCAGGACTCTCCTGACTCACCTGCTGCTCCCCTCAGTGGTGTGCTTCAGCTGATCTGCCTGTCCCCCCCCCCCCCCCTGCGCTCGGTCTCTGGTGAGTCCTCTCACCCCCCACACTCCTGGCCTGTACCCCAGCTCTTGCATGCATAAAAAAATAAATCTTTGGAAAAAATCAGTAAAAAAAACAAAACATTATTAATCCATCTGAAATTAATTTTTG